ATATACGGCTTTTAGACGGTATCTCGTATGTCTTTCAATCTGTTAAAAGGTTACTCTTAAACACAAAAAAAAATTTGGTATATAGCAGGCATGCCTCAGTCGTCAAATCACTATCTTCTTCCGGACATGTCCTAAACTAAGCAGCTAAGAGCTAATACCCAACATTGGGACCCAGAAACGACTCTTGCCAAATCACTCGTTAACATCTCGCTTAATCATGATTCTAAATCAGAGGGCTTAGAGCTGATTTTTCGAAGTAATTTGCTCTTTGTTTCCTTTTTCCCACGTCGCGACTGGTCACTGTACCAGTAGCGAAGTACGTTCACGCTCCGGGTTTGTGAACTATCCAGTCGTTGACACATCATTCTTTTCTTCTGTGGAGTGCCTAATAATAGAAATTGAAATTTTCTTATGAGATTGTTTGACATCATAACTGAAAGAAATTGAGTTACAGAAATTTTTCGTCATTTTTATCTTATTATTATCTGCACAATGTTCCTATCACTTTACCCTAAACAGTTAGGAAGCAGCGCTCTCTAGAAGCAGCTAAGTCCATCTTGAAGAATTTAGCATGAGCTTGCGCCAGCGAAATTTCGCAACGAAGTTCCCATTGAGCCTAAACCCCAAACGTAAAAAACTCTGAGAAAAACGAAACGTCGGCTAAAAAAGTCGCAGCGTTTTTTTGTTAATTCGGCCACAAAAACTATATCGCCATTGCTTTTTGTCCCAAAAACTACCCAGCCTTGACCCGGTGCCAGATGTGCCGAGCCACCAAATTGTAGATGGAATGCGAACACATGATATAGACGTGGTGAATTTTCCGTTAAGTGGCACTATCGAGACTGTATTCTGCTGCTAATGTTTACTCTGGAGGTTTCATACAACATGCCAACTAACACAAACAAGTTCTCAAGTATCTGCCGCGACCTCAACTCTTCCATTTGTAGATTCTCAGCTTTATGAATATACCTATGGTTGTATTCTTTTTGTTGTTTGAGAGTATCAAAAACTCTATATTTGGATGCACTATTCTACCACCGGTAATCAAACAGATTGACGATTAATGTCAACGGTGAGAAAATGAGCGAGCTGCGATGGTTGAGATAAGTATCCTCGGCAAGTGCCGCGAAGTTTCCTCTTCCTCCAAGATCAGCGAGCAAACAGTACACTATCACTGCACGTTTCTACTTTCTGGAGCGGTTCAGCGCAATCACCTCCCAGCTGTCATGGAAACTATTGCCACCTATCCCAAAAGTAATTCCACCCTTACTAAAATGAAGGCCCCAAGCTTTGATCTGACTCACTACTCCGTTTCCGTTACCACGGATGATCACTCCAGCGGTGGACCGTCCGAGGACGGAGATGCTGCTGGTGAAGCAACAGGTGCTAGCGCATCTGTGGCAAATAACGTGAACACCGACGAGGTATCCGACAGTGAACAAGACATCGTCACAGTGGTCCATCTGACGAGCACGACCGCAGCAGATGCGGAAGACCTCTTTTCAGCAAGCCCAAGTCTTCCGAATGGCTTTGTAGAGGAGAAAAATGACGACGACAAACTGACACTCAATGACGTAGAACCTCTCAGGACCGCCGAAGCAAACGAAGAAATCGATGTTATTGGTGCAAAGGATGCTGACGACCGAGCGAAATTATCGGAACAGCAATCACATCTACAGGGCGAGTCCGCACAGATGCAACATGGTGCTGCGCAGCAATCGCCAAGCTCACCTAAAATCACCAATATTCCGATCCTGAGACTGACTAGAGCTAAACGTGAAGACTGTAAATCGTGGAGTCGATGGTTATTCGGTGAGATAACGAAAATCTACGAAAGGACCCCTGATCATGTTGCTATGGTAAGCACTCAGTA